CAACAGATAAGCTACATCAATGACATCTTACTTACCAACAGATAAAGTTAAAGCTGCGTCGATACTGATGAACAGATGCACTCAGTACAACGATGTTAACTTACTCACCAACAGATCAAATTACAACAACAAAACTACTTTACTCAAAAATAGTTCGCCGTGTGAAATATTACACTCTACAATGGAACTGATGTTTCATTCTCGATTCCAACTCATCGCTTGTACATGTAGTTAGTTTAGTTAAAAAAATATGTTATTCAATACTTACATGTATTACAACAATTATACAAATACACATGAAGTTATAACTATATTATGGCCTTTTTTATTGAAATACTAATAAAACCCATGATCAGTCGTGTTCCGCCCCCAGGGGTCTTGCTTGTTCAATGGCAAATGAAGCGTCTTTTATGCGTGTACAATGGAAACACTAATATACTAAAGAAATAAAGATGAAACGGATCAAATTACTGCAAATTAAGGATCCCCGTACAACTTCCAAAAACTTTAACTGATATTTCATTAGTTCATATAGTTCATATAGCGATGACGCCGATTGAAAGCTGTGAGCTTCTTATAATTATGGCTCGTTTGAATATAGAAACTGTTTTCCGGCATTACTACAGTTTTGAGAAATTATTTTTGATGGAACACAAGGATTCGAACCTTAGTCCTCAGTTTGATATACTGTCACTCTAACCAACTGAGTTCCTAGGTAAACGGTAATATCCTGGCTCAATTTTCTAAAGTTAGAAAAAAGGGAGGCACCTGTGTATAACCATGCTGGACTTATCTTTACTGTTTCGTCTGTGGTGGGACAAGCATTCTTAAAAGCCATCAAATAATACAGCTGTGATCATCTAGACGTTATGTCATTTATTTATCTAATCAATCAGATAACCAGGTAATGAGTCACGTTATTTATCATACCAATCAGATACACTGTAAAATTAAGAGGCATACAATTAGGGTATGACGTCATATGATTAACCTAACGAATCACATTATTGGAGTATGACGTCACGTGATTTATCCGAGCAATCAGATAACTCTAATATTGATGAGGCTTACGATTAGAGTATCTTACCCAAATCCGGAGCCACACTGGTTGTTCCGCTGCTGTAGAGGAAGTACGGCCTGGTTGTCACGTCCTGGTCAAACCCGCAGGGTTTACTGTCCGCTCCAGCATCCATTACCAGCATCCAGTGGTAGTCGGACGTACATCCAACACCATGGGCATCCGTCACCGCAAACTGTCGCACGCCGTCTCTGGAAAAATATAGATGCATAACAAGAACGATACATATCTGTCTCAACAGTACATGGATATGGTGTCACACCAGAACCTTAGAGCACAAATTCTAATACAAGACGTTACAGTGATTATTTTTTCTTTAATCGTAAGTTTCATTTGTTTTCAATTTATTTAAGGAATAAGAACAATTATTTTGGGGGACGTAACCAGATATTGATTACACTATTGTGTTACTATACATACCCACATTTGAGCTAGTATGCTGTTTATCACAATACCTATATATGGGCTACAATATCGTGTTACATGTACTATACATTCCCAAATCACAGTGTTACAAGTTACAATGTCGTGATGTCACAATGCCCAGATATGGATTATAATACCGGGATTTCATACATGTACATAACCAGACACGGGTTAATGTATCGTTCTATTAAACACACCAAGATATAGGTACAGTATTGTTTAATTGTACACACCAAGATATTGGTACAGTATTGTTTAATTGTACATACCAAGATATGGGTAGCAATATCGTTCTATTATACATACCCAGATATCGGTAACAATATCGTTCTATTATACATACCCAGATATGGGTAACAATATCGTTCTATTATACATACCCAGATATAGGATACTGTATCATGATATTATACATACCTAGATATAGGATAATGTATCATGATATCATACATACCCAGATATAGGATACTGTATCATGCTATTATACATACATAGGATATGTATCATGATATCATACATACCCAGATATGGGATACTGTATCATGATATCATACATACCCAGATATGGGATACTGTATCATGATATCATACATACCTAGAGATAGGATACTGTATCATGATATTATACATACCTAGATAAAGGATAATGTATCATGATATCATACATACCAAGATATAGGCTACTGTATCATGATATCATACATACCTAGAGATAGGATACTGTATCATGATATTATACATACCCAGATATAGGATACTGTATCATGCTATTATACATACNTATCATGATATCATACATACCCAGATATAGGATACTGTATCATGATATCATACATACCCAGTTATAGGATACTGTATCATGATATTATACATACCTAGATATAGGATAGTGTATCATGCTATTATACATACCTAGATAAAGATCACGATATTGTAATAGTATACATACCCAGATATACTACAGAACTGAGGGGAGGATGTTGTTAGATCTTCGTAGTCACTGTACAATATTTTGGACTTGTCAAACCATGCTGTCTTTGCCGTTCCACTGGCCTTAAATATAACGGCCGCTTTTTCTTGTCCCTTAGCGTACATTCCATATTTTACCTGTTGAGAGCAAAAACATTTTTTGATATATATCTCATCTATGTTAAAGTCTGTGTGATTGGTTAAAACACATCACATGATCAAACGACAACAATTCCGATGGAGCGTTGTTCTCGGTGTACATACATGTACCAATGATTTGGAAATATTATTTGAAATAAATAGAAGAACAATATTATTTAAGCGTTGGTTAAAGTGCCGGGACGTGCTAAATAATTACCTTTGAAGAACTACTTTCTCAGCACCTTGTCACCCAATCGTAGCAGTAGTGGTCAGGCTATATTTACATGTATGATATCCATACACTGCAAATAACAGCTAGGTTATGCTCTCATAAATGAATTCCCCGTGAAAGTATATAGAAAAGTAATGAAAAATCAAATGAAAATATTGGCCGATATGTCAAGATAACATCACTTAAGAAAGAATATGATAAATAAATATAAAAGCATGAGGAGTACTCACTGTTTCAATCAAAGTGAAGTCATCTGACCAAATTTCTGAAACGCCATTTTTGTAATGGCTACTTGGAGACGTAGTCAATGTTCGTGCCGCGCTAACGCCGTCATTTTCGGCAGTTTCTCCCTCCCAGGAATCCTGCAGGGAACCGGCAGTGGGTGTTACTCCTTGTATTCCCTTAAATACCATGTACCAGTCTGAAACAAAAAGTTACCATGCACAAGTCCAAAACACAAAGTTACCATGTACAAGTCCGAAACACAAAATGACCATGTACCAGTCTGTAACACAAAGTTATCATGTACCAGTCTGAAACACAGATTATCATGTACCAGTCTGAAACACAAATTATCATGTACCAGTCTGAAACACAGATTATCATGTACAAGTCTGTAATACAAAGTTATCATGTACCAGTCTGTAACACAAAGT